GAGGTGCCGCTTGCTCACAGATTCATCTTCCCCTAAGCAGCTCCCCCGCTCTCCTTGCCTGCCCTGCTGGGCAGCTGGTGCCTCAGGGACCAGCGGAAACCATCCTCGCCTTGCCCCGGGCACTGTCCCGTCCATGATCTGCACCCTGCCTGCGCCCACAGGGCTTGCAGCCTGCAGGGGCTCTCACAGCCGGTTGCAACGAAGGGAGCGATCTTACCAGCAGCAAAGCGAAACACCCCGGACGGGAGCAGCCCTGGGCAGCCGGCAGCTGGCAGCGCTGAGTTAGCCAGTCCAGCTTCATCCTGCAGGTCGCTCCTAGTCCAGGGCCAAGGCCGGTGCCGCCAGCCCGTCCCTCCACTTGCTCTGCCTCAGCTCAGAGCGCGGCTGGGGCCGGTGGCGGCGGGTCTGGCTGGGAGGGGTGTTTGCAGTGGACACGGAAACTCCTCCTGCTGCTGCCAGGAGGGGCTGGTACCCGGCTCAGTGCTACCTGCCGCCCAGCTGGGCAAGGCAAGGGCCCGGAGCAGCCGGAGCCGCTCTCAGGCAGCCCGAAGGTAGAGCTGGGATTTGCTCCCTGGCAGGAGAGGATCATGTGCTGCCCAGTCTGTGCCTCACTCTGCAGAATGCATTACAGTGTCCCCCCCCCAGGGTGACTATATTTCCCAAAGGGAAAACTGGGCACCGGGTGGGGCTAGGCTGAGGCCCCCGCTCCCTGCGCAGGGCTAGTGCCAGCCTCTCCCGGAGCACTGCTGCCCCTTCCCACACGGGGTTGGCGTCGCTGCTCACCTGCCTGCCCCCCACCCGAGCCCTGTCTGGCTCCCACCCGAGCTCTGCCTCCCCCACTCATCGCTGCCACCCCCACCCCCTGTTCCTCCGCGCTCCACGGGCCACCCTTGTGACAAAAGGGCATGTGTCCTGTTTGATCAAGTTGACAAGAGCAGACAGGACAAATGCCCAGTTTTGCCAAAAGTTGGGACGGCTTGGGCAGGGTTTATAAAAGGGACCGTCCCGGGAGGGATGATCACCCTACTTACTGTGGGGGCCGCTGGCTCAGGGAATGGTATTGAAGATGCACTGGGAGATGGATAACCGTACTCAGAGAGTTGTTATTAATGGTTCCCAATCCTGCTGGAAAGGCGTAACGAGTGGGGT